TTTAATCTCAATTTTAGATGAAACAGAATTTATATAAAAATATTTTATATAATATAGCCTTTTCTCTTTTCAGCCAACATATAGTTTCTTTCTGTTGCTATTACAAATAAAGGATGTACTAGTATAAGAGGGAGAGGAGATATATTTATGATTAAAACATCCTTATGTGTCTTCCATGTCTTAAACAATGCTTGAATAACCCTTTTAACTGTCTTTTTTAAAGGCTACAAATCTTTCCTTAAAAACGTTGTTTTGCTTTAGGTTTATCATTTACATTAATATTTTCTAATTTTACCAGCATCTTTTTGATCTTCCATTATTAAAAAAGTGTGTTTCCGATGAAATTCCTGAAAACATTATTTCAAATTCTGAACCCCTCCTCATTCTGTCATTAAGATGTAAAGGGCAAACCTATTTTTATTTGAAACTGTTTTAAATGAAAACGGAAAAGTTTGAGATTACATTAACAATCTTTCATGGCTTATCTAGAAAAATAAAGGATTTGAAATAAAATTAGCTGCTTTGGTAGAGCAGACATTTTAATAACTGTGATTTTACCTACAGTAGATAAATTGGCTTTAGATGATCTCCTCATAGTTCTTTTCCAAACACAGTCATAATTAATTCAGCAGAGTTTATTAATATTTTTTGTAATCTGTATAACTCAGTACCCAAGGTTTTTATGCATAATAGGTATTGCTATTGATTTAGAAAAGAATGTTTGGATATCAGAAAGTGCATGGGAAATTATGTCAGATTTTTTAAAACAAATTATTGTTAAGCCAGAAATTTCTGCAAAGTCTTACAATTTCTTTAAAGTTGAAAAACCACTTGAAGTGGGTTAGATAAAACACTCAAATCATCTCCAAATAAAATTATCAAATATTCTTTTGTTTGCATTTTTATTCCTTTAATTATCCCATTATTTCTTAAGGCTACTGTATTGCTATATTGCTATATTGTTCCATAACTAGCAGGAAAAAAAGGAAAAACAATGGGGAAGAAGACAACTCTATTCAGGATATTTCCTATGAATTCAAAGAATTGCTTCAAATTGTTGCAGTGCTTATACATTAGATCTATAATTTTCCAAAATGGAAAGCCAAACTGAAATGTATTAAGAATTAATTTCAAAAAATTCCAATTTGCAGAATCAAAGCCTTTTATAACAAAACAAATATATGAAAAAGTGAAGAGGAAGAGGAAGACCTAAAAGCCATGGGTTGGATGGAGTTAATGAGACCCCCACAAAAAGGAGTGGTGAAAAGTTTAAAAAAGACAGTATTCAAACCAGCATATGGACATGGTAGAAAGGAAGATGGTTTGGCATGTTAGAAACATATGAAGAAATACAGTGAATTATATTGGTATAAATTAGATTCAGCCATATTTCCTTTTCTCTTTTCTTATCTTATGCCTTTAATATCTTGCCTTACTATTTCTTACCTTTTTTTGCCCTTTTCATATTGTTGCTTATCCTGAAAGGCAATAGCATAATGGGTATTTATATAACTATGCTGAATATTACTCATTTTATGTAAACTTTTATGGAGATAACTTGTAGTGCAAAACTGCAGCAAATCAATCAAATAAATTCATGCTATCAGGTTCAAATTAATTGCTGCATAATATACTAAGCCCTCAGTTTTCACTGGTAATTTATGCTCAGACTTAAATGTCAGATATTAACATACCTGAAAAAAAAATCAGTGGTATAGCTCTACATTATATGAACTTCTGAAAGGAGTCCTCTGAATTCTTGCAGAAAATGTGTGTGAATCAAGACTTCATCTTTTAGTGTAGTGATTAAGGAATGAGACAGAAACACCATTTCCATTTCACTATAGGCCTACATGTTGGCTTTGGGCCTGGCAATATCTTTCAGCTCAACTTAATGCAAAAGTTATTATGGGGGTAAAATAAGGGGAAGCCTATTGTGTTCACTGAAGCTACCACTGAGAAAATCTGGATTCTGAGTACAGTAATTATTTTTTTAAATGTATTTGTTTGTTTGACTTATATAACAAAAACATTAAGAAAAAAACATGAAAACCAGGATAAAAACTCCCAGTGCCCCCAAAAGCAACATGCCCCTCACATCTAACAAACAACTCTTCTGGGCTCTAGCCACACACTACCCCAACATTTGTGGGAAAAGCCAGGTCTTCAAGGTTTTTCAGAAGATTAGCAGGCTAGGGGCCTGCCAGATCTCGGGGAAAGAGTGTCTCAAAGGGCAGGGGCTGCTACTGAAAAGGCATACTACCTAGGTTCTGCTAGATGGCAACATTTAAGGAAAGGGGACCTGGAGCACATCCACCCTGTTGAACCTGGTGTAGCGGGCAGATACCCTCAGGGAAAGGCAGTCCTGCAAATATTTATTGTGCTTTATCTGGAATTGGGCTTCCAAGATGACTATAGGGCTCAGACAGAAATACATGAAGAGTATTTCATCAGATATTAAGGATTCAAACCATGAAAGGCTTTATAAATTATTACCAGCACTCTGAACTTAAGCCTAGAACCAAGTAGATTCAGTAAGAGGTAATGCTAGCATAATAAGATCACAATGCCTAGTTTTAATAAATAGACCAGCAACTGTATTTTGTGCTGTTTGAAGTTTTTGGACCATCTTCTAAGGCATCCCTCAGTACATACAATACATTATAATAATCACTTGTAGATTTTAGATTTTTATTTTAGATTCTTGTAAGAGATGATAGTATAGAAATCAAATAATTAGGATATAATAGCAAATTAAATAATTGATATTTGCAGTCTAAGGGCTGGCTTTAATTAACAGTAATGGCTCCTAGTTGGGCCCAGGTTCAGCTTCCTGCTCAGCCCAAAATCAAAAGATTATGACAAGCTAATCACTATCTTTTTGTCTAACTTACCTCGCCATGTTTTGTGATCTACAAATGAGTGGAGAAAGGGCAGCGTAAGGATGTATTTCACCAACATTCATGCTTTCTTTTCCCACTTTGTTGTGAACAGATGAAAAGTAGTGACCATCATGTTAATCATGTTTGTGGAACCATCCTTAGCTTCTCATTTATCAGTTCCATAAGAATATTACTCTCTGGCCTGAATCTTATGTTAATTTATGAATCACTTTAAAAACCTTGAACAACATATCAAGATAAAAATCTAGCAAATGAGAACCTCGGTCAAAATTAAGAAAATTAAATGAATGTAGGTTTATTTATTTTTCCTTCTTTTAGGGTTGCTACTGGAAGATAACCCATCAATCCGTGCTATCACTTTAGGACATGGACATATACTGGTGGGAACAAAAAATGGAGAGATTCTTGAAATTGATAAAACTGGTCCCATGACTCTACTTGTGCAGGTATAATTACTTATTTTATGTATCAAAGGCTATATCAAAGACACCTAGCATACCCAGCATTTGCTCTTAATTTAATTCATTTGCTACTTAATTTTCCTGTAGCCCTCTGTACTTTTTACAATTTGGTTAATTTAACAAAGAAGCCATTGAGGCGTTGGATGTTACTTATGTATGTTGGCAAATAGATTTCCAATTTTTTAACTTATAAAGTCTCATCAGGTTTATGCTTCTCAAGTACATAGAGCACTCACTACAAGATGCAACTAGTTTAACAAGGCCACTGGTCAGGAATAATTACTTGCTATGACAGCAATGCAGAGGAAATCAGAACCAATGCAGAAATATAGTAAATGGGTTTATGCCCTTAAAGAACATACAGACACACAGAGAGAAGGAATGTATAGAAACAGTGGATACCACATTGTGGGTTTGTGGGGGTTTTTAAGAACAACAAAATGCTCTTTAGAAATCAGTCTTAGCTTGGAATTGGAAAACAGTTGCACAGTATATGCTTTTCTTTTGGAATATTTCCCCATTTATAAACAGGGTCATATGGAAGGAGAGGTCTGGGGTCTGGCAGCTCATCCTCTCTTGCCTATCTGTGCAACGGTGAGTGACGATAAAACTCTAAGAATCTGGGAGCTTTCTTCCCAACATCGTATGCTGGCAGTGCGAAAACTTAAGAAAGGTAATAATTATACTTATGAATTTTTATTATCTTGTTTATGTGGCATTTTTTTATATCAAACTTGCATAATCTTTTATCAGCTAAGCCAGATTTGCCGTGTGTAGTAGCCCACCAGAAATTTAGTTGAGCTCCTGATTTTATTGTATAGATTTGTATTCTTGTACGTGCCTGGAAAATTATATATGGCTTAATGGTTCAGTTGTGCAAACTTCTGGAATTTGTATGAATCAAAATAAGGAGAAAGGCTTGATTTGAAAGCAATGATACACCCAATAGTTATTAAACACCTCCTTCGAAATGTGAAGATGGAGACATTTTCCATCATTCATCTGACTATTATTATTCACTGAGACATTGTATTCAAGTACAATTCTTATCATCCTCAGCGTGAATGGCCATTGCTCATGCTGAGTGTGAGTGATGGGAGTTGTAATCTACTATATTTAAGACCAACAGATATGGGAAGTCTGCATTACATCGTCAGTTACTATTTTTCCTTACAAAATGTTTGCCTTGACTATCCAGATTGAGGGAGACTGTGTCATAATCAGAAAACTAGGATATTGCATTGTGACCACTGTTTGATCTTCAGTATAGCTACTAGAGCCACCACTTGGTGGTGGGTAGAGCTGCACATATTCTTTTTCTATTTTATTTCATCTAATCAGCGTTACAGATCTCTCCTGATTTATTTCTGGTTATGATGTGAAACTGCTATGAAGCTAGAGGGGTTTTTTTTATATTTGAGACATTATGATTCTGTTTCCCTATTTGGTGGGAACTCACCCCTCCTTCTGGTTTCTGAGCTTTAGGTCCTGTAAGGGAAATCCTAGTTTCTAGGAGATGCTGGCTCAGGTAAAACCAACAGGTAACACATTTTTTCAGTTTCCCCCTTCTCTTGGACTTCTGGGGTGGTATGGCAAACTGAAGACAGCTCTGCGAAAGTGGGGCCAATAACCACAGCAAAGATGAAAAACTGGTGAATAGACTGTTTCTTCGGAACCTCTCTGGATAAGGAGAGGATGGGAGATCGCCCACATGTGCCCTGGATGGCTACTCCTCATGAGGAGACTGCAGGACAGCAGTTTTCTGCAGGTTTGAACACTGGGAGACAACGGGATCAGCCATCTTGCTCACAACCATGCCAGAACCATTTAAAGGACACTAAGTTCACACACCTCACTTTCTAATCATTTTTGGAAATTGCCTATTAACCATCTTAAAGCTATTAGAGAACTTTGGAATGACAAGTTTGAAAACACTTCATTGGATGAGTTTATCTTCAACTCTGAACAAAAGAAAAATTAATTATAACCTTAAGAACTTAAAGAATTTGAAATAAACAGCAAAAAGCTAAAT